CAGATAGCTCGGAAATCATAATTATTAGACTCAAGCAAGGGTGAGCACCATCTCTACTGATAACTGGTTTTCCAAAAAGTGAAAAATTCACAAACCTTCATGGTTCCTTCCACGGTCTTGTCAACAGCTCCTTGAGGGAACTCAATCGTGACATCGTCACATACAGAAGACCTGACGACACATCCTTTGGGTGTGATTTGGAATCGGTCTGTGATGAGTCTGGTTACAACTGCTAAGATAGTCGGCGTACTGATTTCCACTTTAACATAATCATTTCTGCAATGTGCTGATACATTCTCTTGTCTGCGATCTAAAACTTTATTCAATAAAAAACCAATCCCTTCAAATTTAATAAGGATACCCTAGGGCACTGCATACCCGCAGGTTGAACCCTTAAACAACTTCTGGGCTGATCTAAGTCAGGGCAAGACTAACTCATAGATGGGGCCCTGAAGTAACCTCTGCCCTGATCTAAGTCAGGCCAAAGTTAACTCACAGATTGAACCCTGAAACAACCTCTGGCCTGATATTTAAAAAAATCGGCAAATCGGTACCTATCGGCTCTTGCCATGTTTCATTATCCTGATTGAATGCCTTCACAACAGTTTCATAGCCATATCCCTTTCTTGGCCCAGAATGCATCAGACTAACGCTGATCGGCTTGTTTAGTTGAATAGTACTGGGTTCCAGTCCCACKATGTAACTTACGACAGTTTCGTCTTTCCCAGCAGGGAATGTCACGGGTAAGGATTCTGCAGTGTATTTCTTACATATGACAGTAGTAGCTTGCGTGACTGTGTTTGGAGGGATATCGAGACGAATTCCAATCATGGGGATGTCAACCGATCCGCCTTCTGGAATTCTGTTCAACGAAAAGTCGAAACAAAAATTTAGAAAAAAGGATAAAAAGAATGGATACCGAAATTGAAAAATAACAATATTGGCAGCAACAATAGCAATGACTCTTTTATCCTTACATCGTATTGCATTGTGAAGGAATTTTATCTATTATTCCAGTTACAACCGGAATGCCAAGGTCTTCCTGGACAGRATGTTCAGCATCCTCTAATCCTGGTTCACTAGAGACGACAAAAGTATCGTCAGGTGGTAATGGAACATCAGGCGGGTGTTCAATGTCATCTATTTCTGGCTCAGTAGGGGTAACAGGAGTATCGTCTGGTGGTAATGGAACACCAGGCAGGTATTCCTGGACAGGATGTTCAGTGTCAGCTATTCCTTGTTCAGTAGGGGTGACAGGTGTATCGTCGGGTGGTAATTTTACATCGGGCAGGTCTTCCTGGAAAGGTTGTCCAGTGTCAGCTATTCCTTGTTCAGTAGGGGTGACAGGTGTATCGTCGGGTGGTAATTGTACATCGGGCAGGTCTTCCTGGACAGGATGTTCAGTGTCAGCTATTCCTTGTTCAGTAGGGGTGACAGGTGTATCGTCGGGTGGTAATTGTACATCGGACAGGTCTTCCAGGACAGGATGTTCAGTGTCAGCTATTCCTGGTTCGGTAAGGGTGGCAGGAGTATTGTCTGGTGGTAATGGAACAARGATTAAGAATTTTCAAAAATTGCACCCTGTTTAGCGCGGTTAAAAACGTTTTCGCCATAAGGTGACTTTTGGAAAAAATATTAAACTTTTTTTAAAGCGTCGATTTTCGGAATTGAAATTTAATGCTGATTCCAAATCTGGAAAGAAAAATTGGTGTCCCGAGCTTGTTTTCGAGATAATCAGCATTTAATGGAAGCCTACGCGCGAGCGGCTTTTGGAGCAAAAATTGCGCCACCGAAAGTGATTAGAAAAAAATTAAGATTCATAAGATAATAGTTATTTGCAGACTATATGATTTCACGAATGAAGGCTAGTCAATCATTCTACAATAACACCTGGATATTTTCGACAAAAAGACAAAGATACATTGATTTGTCATATTTTGTAGTTTCTTAAAAAAATTAATAAAGTCGAACAAAACTCTCTACAAAAATCTATTTTTTCATCTGTTAGAATATTTAACTTTTTCTAAAATGTTGATATAACCTAGATTTCTAGGAGTTTATTCAAATACGCTATTAAAAAACAGAGAGTCCCGTGCAATTTTTTTTGCCCTGTTGAAGCTCAAAACGTGTATGGTTCTTCAATAAAACCTTGTAGATTTTTCAGCGGTTTTTGAGCGCGCGCACATCGTGGGCTCAAATCGAACGTTCAAAAGTAGGCAGTCACTTTAAGGACGTTTCTTGGGCATTTCCATACATGATTTAAGTGCACATATGCTCATCGTGATGACATAATTTGAATGTTTTTGTGGACAAAATATCAAGAATACCCATTTTTCACTTTTGTAATTACTGCAAAATTTGTCGGAAACTAATTCGGTGACCCCCATTTTTCTTTGTCTTGAAATTAAGATRCTACCAAACCTACGACATATGTAAATCTAAAATAATTCTGATTACAAGGGAGTGATTTACACCAAATTTTCGGGAAAAAAAATCCATCTTTAACGAATATGAATGGTAATCATTTTACTGCATCGAACGGATTGAAAGTTTTCATGTATCCTTATAACTCTCAGCTTACATGCCTTTAATTCAGAAATGTTAAAGAAAGTCATGCATCAATGGTCATGCATTTTTTAAATGCTTTTTTCGTGTTTCTTTGATACCTTAGGTTATTCTATAACGCGCGTTTTTCCTTGGTGAACACTATATTTACTCGGCGTTTAGCAAAAAAAACCAATTCTGTGATCCCCGGCCATTTTCTTATTTCAGTTTTTGAACAATATGTTGGGGTATGTTTATATCAAGTTTGAAAAATTCTGATAGCAGCTTCATTTGACCGCGAACGTACTTAAATCGGGAACCAAAAACAATCTATCAATTTGCATTTACAAAAAACATTTGAATATTTAAAACGGCAATAATGTAAGTTGCACAAAAAAGTGTTTAAGATAACAAAGGTACCTTTACGGACTGGTGTAGAGCTTTCAATCTGTAAGAATATTTAAGAGTATGACAATATTAGCAGGACGGCAGAACGCTTTTTAAAGTTGTGGCTTGGATCTTGAGATCTTGAGTGTGCAAATGAAACTGGAAATGATGGTAAAAGGAATGGGGAATTGGCAGGCTTCAGTGACGTCGCGCTGAAGGCACGTTACTGGTTTCAAAAGCTGCAGATATATGGTTTTACGTGTTGAGAAAAAAAATTTTTTTTTTCGTTTTTTTCGTTGTTGTTGCGAGAAACGTGCATAATTGCTTTGGGTTTTGGTTTATACTCTTTCAGTTTTTTTTTCAGAATTCTAGTCACACATTGCCTTAGTAGTTTGAAAAAGGAAGAGGAATGAAGACCCAGCCGCYAGGGTTGATGAACAGACTTGTGTATATTATTGTAATTTAGTTTAAAAAGTCACGATAAGTTACATTATTTAAAGTCCCCTCACCTTCCGCATTTTCGTTATTCTTTCTTTCAGTTTTTCTTTCTTGTCTTTCTTTTTCAGTTTCTTACACATTGCTTCAAGTCTGTCACACAGTAGTTTTCTCACAATACTGTGATTGTCTTCAGGTAAAGACTCCTCCATTACAAAAGCTTCTTCATAACTTGCTAAAGCTCCTTCAAGATCGTTTTTCCATTCATGAATGATCCCAATCAGGTACAGAATCCTCACGGTGTCTGGATGTTTACCAAGGATCTCGTTTGYTATTTCAAAGGATTTCTGGGCATRCTYAAGRGCCTGGTCATACTYTCCRAGACCGATAAGAATATTTGCAAGGTTTCTTTGAAATAGAGCAGTGTGATTTGTATCGCTTACCCCCAGCTCTTCTTGCAAAGCCAGTGCYTTTTCCATCCATTTTTTTGCTTTTCCATATTCTTCCCTTGCTTTTGCCTTAAAACCGAATAAGCGCTTATACCACTTTTCGTCTTCTTTTCGAGCCAGCCCATCATGAACTTGAGCCATTTGGTTGTAATATGTTGGAATTTCCCAATGATTTTCACTTCCGACGAGCCTTACTTTCATATCCATTGCCTGTTTGTAGTGCGTCATGGCGGTTAACGGATCTTCAAGTTCCATGTAACAATTACCAATAAGATTCAATGCCCGAGCAGTTAATGTGCTATCTCYATTCAACTGTTTTCTCATTTCTATTGATTGCTTGAAATGCTCGATTCCTTCTTCGAGAAGCTTTTTGACATGTTTTCTTTTTCTTTGTTCTGGAGTCAGTTTYTTTGCTTTCATCCACTTGATCTTCCCTTGACAGTGCAAGAACAAACTATTGACCTCATTCAGTTTTTTACTCAACTTTTCATCAGGACTGGTAGAGTGCACTTTTTCGATAGATGTCTTTGCCTTTTCTAATATCTCTTCGTTGACGGTTCCTTCCAAATCAGAGCCTTGAATAGACTGCCAACATCGCATCAGCGAACTGGTAAGCCATTGTTCTGATTTAACGAGAATGTTAATGTAAGAAAAKACGCAGTCTATGACTACATATATGGCYACAGCGGGACTCGAACCCGGCACCACCGGATTGCGAGACCGACGCTATGACCACTCAACCATGCTGCCTCCCTCATAAGAGGCAGAGTCACCGATTGCTCGACCAATCACAGCTCGAGAAACTCTATATTCAAGTCTTTTATATAAAAAAAGAGCAGTAAATCAACACAAACAATTAGAAAAATTAAACTTTTAAATTCTAAAATACTGAAGTAGAAATAAAACATAAAAYAAAGCATATGAGCTTATAGGACGGCATATGGTAGAGTTACTAAAGGCAAAGCAAATTTTTATCTGCGCACCTTGTTTTTCGGCTGCCTCAGCCCATTTCCCAAAAAGTTCTTTTCTTTCTTTTTCATCTTTTAAAACTTCAAAGAGAATTCCCATCAATGCCAACTGGTTGTGGTCATCGGTATGAAGCAACAGGTCGAACGTTTCCTTGTGGTCTTCGGACAAGTCAATAACAAGCTCGAAGTTTGCTCTGTTTATCTCCAARTTGACATAAGTTTTCACAAACTCCCTTTCAAGGTTATTAGCGAGTTTTGTTATCTTCCCAGCAAAATGTTTAAAAAACTGGTTTTCCCCTTTTTTCAACTGTTCCTTGTAGACTGGATCTTTTTTGCACAGATGTGAAGTAACAAAGTCCCTGAACAGTGCATGGAGGTCATACTTCCTCTTCTTCTTCGTTTCGTTATGTCTCTTTTCCTCCACATTTTCTGCTGTGATTATTTTGTGTACTGCTAACATTTCAAGGTCAAACTCTGTATCATAACCTGAGGAGGCTTCAGTAATTTTGCTTGCTGTGGACACAGTGAAAGGACGACGGAGCAAAGAAATCTTCACTGCAACTTGTTTAAGGTGATCATTTGGCAGAGATTCAAACAATGCATTGATACAAGCAAAGTGTTCTGGTACTCCCTTTCCTATTTGGGCAGTTATTTTTCGCAGCACATCTGCAGGAGTAGCAAAACTTTCCCTCATCAGCTGCTCTGCTCCATGCAATAGATATGGATTATTACAACACAGAACAGCGATTTCAAACATTGTTTTACCCTGCTGATCATCTGAAACATCGCCTCTGACTCTTTTACTGATGAAATATCTAGAGATATTCTTGCTGAATGGCTGAACTTTGTATTCTGTGAACAGTTTACCCTTCAATTCGGATTTATTCAATTCTGTGGTTGAAGTAAGAATGACCTTCAAGTGTCCTCTTTTACTTGCTTCACTGCATATGATRACCTTTAAAAATTCCAAGAAATCTGCTCTCGTTTCCTGTTCAACCTCACTCTCCTTCGAAAAAAACTGCTCAATATTGTCCAGAATTAAAACAGTTTCTTTCTTTAAAATTTCAAGGTGCTTATAGATCCTCTCTCTCTTGTTTTCGTCCCAGGAAGGTAGTTGGAGGGCTTGTAAAATGTGAAAATAAACAGTCTTGAGACATTTGATATTTCTCAGATCCACAAACACAGTGTCAAAACTTTCCAAACGTTTTGAAACTTCTTTTGCCAAAGTGGTCTTTCCCACTCCTGAGTCTCCGAACAAGTTTACTCCTGGTACGCGATGATTCTTCAAACGCTTTAGAATATTACTCACATCAACATCCCTACCAACAAAATCATCTTTGCGTGACGAAGAAGCTTCCTTGTAACCACTAAGCATTTTCAAAACTTCAATGTTCTTCCCGGCCAAGATTTCCAATAATTTCTGATCTCCATCATCATCAATCGCTCCCAGTATGTATAGTTGTTTCAAGGCTCCAYAYAAGTCATTTTGATCAAAAGAGTCTTTTTTGGTTGGATATTGCCTTTTCAGTAAACGAACGACTTCTGCTGCTTCGACTTGATTAAACTTTGTAGAAATCTGAGATAAAAGTTTTTCAAATGATGAAGTCCTAATGATGGCAACATCTGTCATTTTGTGTGTAATATAACTGTATCACATATTTATAGCCTGGAAATTCTCTTTGTAATGTTTACATTTTTAGAGAAGCCAAGCTGGACCTTGAACGCCGTCTTGGATTTCAGCCTATGAATATCAATTTTAGTAGACGCGCCTTGACCTATGTAAACATTGATTTCTAAGAAACATCATGCCGTCCACTACAGCCGGGGGTCAAGGATGATTTACTTCTCGTCTACATGATCGCTGATGCGTGTTTCGTTTGCCTGAATAATGTTGCAATGACTAATAGAGCAATTTTAACAAATTGACATCAGTTTTTTATGTTTCTGTCCTCTTATTGACGATAAATTGCGTCATCACATTGTTAAAGTAGTGTGGATCCACGAGGCGTAGCCGCGTTCATTACTAGTTTAACTAGTCACGCAAAGCTTGACCTTTTGGGTCGTATTTCTTGTGTGTCATCCAGGCATCAGTGTCAGTTTTAATTATAAAAAGCATAGAGTTAAAGAAAAAATGGCGGCGAACTGAGATAGAGAGGTTTTGCAATATTTTGCTTAGTTCGTCTTGTCTTGTTTTGATATTTCAATTATTACCATCATGTCTGATGATTCCGATGAAAAMAATTCTGTTGATGACTTCGAAAGATGGAAGGTTCCCGAATCTTTACATTTTTACGCGAAATCGAGGTTTAAACACTTATGGAACAAAGGAAAAGCCAACAAATGTTGCGTATGGCGCCAAAAATGTTCAGTGGCCTTTAAAGATAACTGCGAAGGAAGAGACAGTGGCAAGAGAAGAACAATATAAACGTCTATTGAAGATTAATGGGCAGCATGCAGTTACCTGATCTATTTATTGTCCAAGAAAGCGAGTAAATAGGAATGGCAAAATGGCCGCCAATTTTTCAACCCCAAATTGCAAAGTTTATTCTTGGTATTGATCATGGRAAAAAATTCGAGCAAAAGGATATTCACTGAGTGATTACAAAGAGGGAAAAGCATACAGCTATTTCGATTCTAAGTGGATTGGAGAGGTGTTTTATCATGAAATCTCCCCAACTCACSACGTTTGTTTCTTAAATCCGAATCAAGGTCTTCTCAAAAAATCAAAAACGGCCCGCACAAAGTCTGGGTCTGCGTGAACAAAACGAGTGGCACAGAAGAACGGAAAAATGGGTTGTTTTATCTCCAACATCCAAAGAGTGTTAGTGGAACAACTATGCCAAGAGAAAAGTTGTTGAACCAAAGAGAATAAATGATACGAACGGGGTTTCACCTAGGAAGGATCAAGTTTGATTTGGACCAGAGGAT